TACTATATGAGGAACAAATTATGGCATATCATGTCGTTGATGTGTTGCTTACTTGTCGTCATATCGTGGATCTTCTGCAAAGCAGATATAGACAAAGGAGTCTTTTTAGAAGACTCTTCTAGGAGGGATATTGTAAATGTTGTTCTTACCGAGGCACAAATGACATTGATTACATCAAGCAATGTATGAACTGGGGGTCCGACATATGTAGTAGTATAATATTTGTACTAGGGATACTATTATCATTTGTAATTTATTTTGACTCTTTCTGGATTCAGGATTGATTCATTTATATATGGTATTTTCATCTTTTTTGATAAGTGTATGGTTTAATTTATAAAAAAAATTATGATTATAGTATAGTTATAATACATCAGTGTATTTGTAAAAAAAATTCAATATTTACTATTTAGGGTGAATATAGAAAAGTATAGTTGCAACCTGTTACGAAAATACATCTTCTGATCCATTTATGTCAAAATGAGTGTGTCTTAGTTAAAAATGCATGAGGTGCGTATATATTGAATACAAAAGTGCATTTCTAGATCCATTTATGTCAAAATAAGTGTGTCTAGATTAAGAATGTATGATATGTGTATAAGATAAATACATATATGTATCCCGGAACCATTTTTAGTTAAAAAAGAGGTACGAGGATCACTCATCTACATATGCATTTGATGTGAAATTTATATATTCAAAAATACATTTTCGAATTTACAAGGGCATATTCAATTTTCCTTAGGCGTGTACTCTAGATGCAACCCCCTAAATCATCGAGGCAGTCAAAAGGCCCAATCTTTAAATATAGAGAATTTCTTATTACACCCTAGATGTTTCTAATACACCATGTGAATTTCCATATATACCTCCTGATTCTGAAGATACATCTCCGGACGTACCATACCACACACTCAATAAAGGCCATTCTTAAAGTCGCCTAATATATTAAGTAGCTTTTATTTTGGATATACATCTCCAAAACATTTTAAGAAAAATAATTTAGTTATTCAGATCAGTAGATATTCCGGAGATGCATCTCTGAAATATTTTAAGAAAAACATTTTAAGTGTTCAGTTCAGTAGATATTCCAGAGATGCATCTTCGGAATTATGGGCGGCATTTTGAAATTTTCTGTCACCTTTGCATGTCAAGTGTTTTCGGAGATGTATCTCTGAAAATATCTGATATAATTTCCATCTGCATGATCACTCCTCCATTGTTGACATAGTTAGTTTTCAAGTAAACCCTTCACCCTAAAAACCTTTCATTCTCAATCCATTTTTTCACTCCAAATCTACATCATTTTAGTTCAACATATGCCAGGGAGCAAAAAAAGATAGAATTTCAAGTAAATATTGTTCTTTTCCTTATGCATTGCTCAAACTAATCATCACTTTTTTCTGAAAAAAGTTACATTGTGTCCAAAAATGTATCTTCGAAACGTGTATGAACTTGTCCAGAGATGCATTTCTGTAAGTTGTTTGTGTTTGTTTTTCATTAAATCTACAGAAATAGTTAAAATTATGTTTTGTTATTTGTTTTAATTGTTTTCGTTATATATGGTGCAACTCGATATTTTCCTAAAACAAGTTATTTTTTTGAACGTCCAAGGTGTGGTTGTTTCTCCAAATGTTCAAGGGGTTGCTGTGAAGGCGGTAGATGTTGGCAACGACTTTAAAAACAAGCAAGAGTTTGAATCTCATGATAAAATGCTTGATGGATTCTTATGGAGGCCTATAAACTTGGATTTGGTGTGGTTATCAAAAGGTCCAGTAATGGTTCAGATAGAAGATGCGCCTTTTTGACAATGACGTGCGAAAGAAGCGAGAAGTATCGAACTCCTCTCCGAAATTTTAAAAGAGAAGACACGGGTAATAGAAAATGTAAGTGTCCGTTTAAGGTTTGTTGTTACATGTTAGCAAATAAAAATTGGAGATTTAATGTGATATGTGGTTTGTATAACTATGATTTGTGTTTAAAATTAGTCGGTCATCCTAATGTCTGTCGGCTCAAGCCGGAAGAGAAGGAATGTATTGTTGACATGACCTTGAATCTTGTTCAATCGAAAAATATACTAGCAACATTGAAACGGATACGACCCGACAATATATCAAATATCAAGCAAGCGTATAATATTTGGTACCTCACTAACAAGGCAATTAGGGGGGATAGAACTGAGATGCAACAACTCTTGAAACTTATGGATGATAACAATTACGTGTTCAAGTACCGAACTTGCGATGATGGAGTTACAATAAGAGATATTTTTTAAATTCATCCTGATTCCATAAAATTATCCAACACGTTTCCTAATGTGCTTATACTTAATTCAACCTACAAGACCAACAAATATAGACTTCCATTATTTGAGATGGTTGTTGTTACCTCAACTGAGAATAAATATTATGTTGGTTTTGCGTTTATTAAGTGTGAAAAAGAGGATAATTTTACTTGGGCATTAGAGGTGTGTCAGTCACTTTTAAAGGTCCAAGGTGAGATGCCTAAAGCCATTGTTACCAATCGTAATACCGCTTTGATGAATTTGGTTGCAAAGGTATTTTCTTCATCTTATGCATTACTTTGTAAGTATCACATAACAAAGAATATGAGAAGTCGGGTTAAACCCTCAGTAGGAACGAAACAAATAGAGTCTGAAGGAGGAAAATCGGTGAAGGCGGGTGTGGTTTTGAAAAAATAATGAATGCAAGGAATCGTATAATAAATTCTTCCACAAAAGAAGTCTGTATTAGCAAACCACCTCCGGCAAAGTTTTTTAAGACGTTGACAAATTTTTTCCTGACTCACCGACTCCAAAGTCTCAAAAAAGTGTTGTGAAAGGAGCCCACATAAGCAAACTACCTTTGACGCCGCTTCCATCGAAGATTCCATTCATCGACGAGATGTCTATTTTTATGCACAAATATATCGAGCGGATCGTCAATATTGTGAGAGACGAAAAATTGCAGTTACCGAGCCGTTTCGGCTTTACTCGATAAAGGAGAAGATAGTCATAAACTTGTCCTACATCAACTAATTCAAGAGTTGAAGCCGCATAAAGAATCACACACAAGGTTGTACGGAAAGAAAGAAAATATTGACGTGGTGTTTGAGTCTTTTGTTCCTTGCTTGAACGGTCTGGCATCAGAGGTAAAATGGATGTGCTTCCCTGATATGGGTCACCTAATAGCATGTGCAGATGATAGAGTGTGTGTTGACCTGACACGTTACGGTTTTTCGAAAACCTTTTTCCCACTGCGCACCACCCCACTCTAAAATCCAAATGATCGAATCATATGTATTGGACAAATTTTAAAATCAAGTCATTTTGTTCAAGTTTACTTGAAACCAGGATGCCCTATATCACTTACATCACCAGAGTGGACGACTCATTCAACTACAAAAGCCGAGACGTGGCCGAATCATTTTATGGAAAGGATGTAAGAATTTGAGAGATTGAACAACATTGAAAAAGAATCAAATGCACAAAAGTTCAAGGGGTACCACCTATAGATTTAGCCGACGACATATGTTTCAATTCATTTTGATATTTTGTTTAACCAAAAAATAATTGTATGTAATTGTGTCTCAATATAAATAAGGTGTTATATATTCACCTTTTGTTCATATTTTCTCTTTATGCATTTTTTATCTTCCCCATGTCAACATATGTTATCTTGTCAATGAAAAATAAGGTTCTATTTTGAAACTCGTTCAGAAAAAATTTCAGAGATGTATCTTCGGAACAAGGTATAAGGTGCGGTTTCAGAGATATATCTCCGAAATCAACATTATAGTTAATGAGTGGTCCAAAATGATTTATGACTTCTAATGTTATATTTCACACACACAAAATGTCTTAAATATCACAAACAAATATTTATTGGTATGTCTCAAATGTGTTCTTCTCCGGTCGAACGTTCAAGCTCACCGACTTCACCTCCCTCGAAGATATCAAAGATCAAATCCACCATCTCCTACCTTACAAAGACAATCAAAAGATTATGAAGCTCGGGTACCGTTCACCTTTGATTGACAACAGAGGGAATATTCAATTCACTAAATTTGAGCTCAAGACGCAAGTGGATGTTAGGACTAATGGAATACGTTTTTCGGTTTCGAAAAGAAAATTTCGCTCGAGTTGGAAGCAACACTACAAAGATCAGTCAAAGATATTATGAAGATGTGCAAGGGTCCACTAGGATATTGAAATGTAATATTGATTTTTTGGTTGAAATCATTATTATAATGATTATTTTATATTATGAATGTCAATTTCATTTTGAAAAGTTACTTTATGTTTAATTTGTTTCTGATGTGAATCTGAAGATGTAACTACGGAATTTTTTCAAAAATACATCTCCAAAATAAATTATACCAAATGAAAAAATATAGTTTAGAATGATTTTTGTTGAGTCTTGTGTTAAAATGTGTCCAAAGTTCTATGCAGCATTAGAAACATCTAGGTGGAATAAAAAAATTCTCTAAATATATAGCCCGTTATTATTTAATTTCCATATCTTTGTCCCCATTTTTCAATCTTCGTTTTCACGTTCGCATTGTCAATCTTCGTTTTCACAAGACTTCTTTCACCGTCAATCTCAATTATTCGCTTCCTTTCCCTCAATTAATCATAGGTACGTTATTCTTCAACGATCAATTCCTTCAATTTCATCGCATCTCGGTATTTCATCCATTTCTTTGTTTTTCCAATACCCTAATTCCATGAATTCGCACGCACCGTTTATTTTCCATTTCAATTCTTGTTATATCTTGCATTGCACACAATTCATAACCCTTGGTTCTGATAACTAGTTAGTGATTATTGAGATTTCTTTTCATGTTTTGGATTCTTTCTGTTTTTTGTTAATCTGAAACAAAATGAACTTTAATCCCATTTTTTTTCTGTTTCTGTTTGGTTTGTAAAGTTTGAAGCTTCTGGGGATTAAGAAAACTTTGTTTTTTTCTTCCTAATTAGAGTGTCAAGTACGACCTTTGAAATGGTCTCCAGTGATGAGGCTCTTCCTGCGTCTCCCGGCAAGAAAAGGAAGTTCGAAATGGAAGATAATGCTATCTCCGTTGAAGAGGGTGTCATGCCGAAAGAAATTAAAGCGGTAAAGGATGTGGAATTGGAGGATCGTATCTCGCATTTGCCTGATCATGTCATCCATCACATTCTTTCCTTCCTTCGGAATCCGAAGGATGCGATCCGGTCGAGTAGTTTTTCCAAGCGATGGAGAGCGGTGTGGCATTCCTATGCAATGTTGGTTTTTGATGAAGTAAAGTTTGCTGCAAGATTTGGACTTGAGGATGGAAGTAATAAGGAAATTATGTTTAGAGAATATGTATCTGACTCTTTGGGTAGATACCTTGCGAATAATTCGCAGATGTATAAATTGTTTATACATATGACCTCCTTTGGCTTAACCGACACGACACTTGTCGACAACTGGCTAACTTCTGCTGTCTCACAAGGTATTAAAGAAATAGATCTCCATGTCGGCTTTCAGGGTAGTAATCGGTATACTCTACCGCAAGTTGTCTTTTCATCCGAGACTTTGACCGGAATAAAGTTAAGTGGTTGCATACTGCAAAGTTGTGGTGCGCTTCCTCGTCTGCAGAAACTTTATCTGCGGAAAGTTCACCTAGTTGAGCATAGTGTTATAAGTTTAATCTCCCTCTGCCCTTCAATTGAGGATTTAAGACTCATACAGTGCACAGGTTTGAAATTCTTGGTTGTTTATCATGATAGTCTCAGTAGGGTTGAAATCCACAACTGCAATCAACTGAAGAGGGTTGATATCATTGCTTCTAATCTCGAGACATTTTGGTTTTCTGGCAAGAGTTCAACGTCTTGCAAAGTTGATTTGGAACACTGTAAATCTCTGAAAAAGTTGACATTAGAGCATCCACAAGTGATCCGTGACTTTTCTAAAACTAAGTTCACCAGATTTCCCTTACTTGAACAATTAGATCTATGTGTTTCTGATATAATGAAATCTATCACAATTTTTAACAATTGTCTTCAGAGAATTGCTTTAAAAGGATGCACGAAATTGACTTATGCTCAAATATATGCTCCTAAACTCGTTTCTTTTGAGTTGAAGGGAGACAAGATGCCTTACATTGACTTTCACCCTTTCTGCCTCAGAGATGCCAAAGTTTCTTTGGTATCTAAATCTAAACCTAGAGACATTGGACTCGGAGTTGGTAACAAACTGTGGCATATGATGAGACCTTTTATATCGAAGTTCAGTCCTAAAGGGTTTAAATTGATTATGCATTCTAAGAAGGTATTGTTCTTCTAATTTCTAACATATATGCCAATACTTGAGCCGCTTTCTTGATGAATTGTCATTTACCAAATAATTATCTCCTTATTTATTTTCTTACTTGTCTCTGCTTATTCCAGAATATTATTATTCATGAAGATTTGAGCAACATCAAATTCCCTCCTTTGTATGACCTAAGCTTTGAGATTATCAAATCATCAGCATGTCTTCAGGATATTTTGTATGATTTATTGCGGAAATTGCACCCAGTGTCTATAGCTATTGTTTCTTCCTCTGACAGCAAACTCTCCGAGGTATGACAGCTCTTTTTTTGGTTTTTCAATACATAGGATACACTAAGGTTGATTTTTTTTTTTTATAACATCTGTTATCAGCAATTAAGCTAAACATTTTACTCGCCAGATAGTCTGTTTTTGCAATTAACTTTTTCAAAAACGTGATTGCAGTCAGTATATGAAATGATGAAGATCAAAGATGAGGATCTAATATGTTGTAGATATAAATCTTCAAAAAATAAATGCTGGCGGCATTTCTTGAAGGAGTTTAAGTCTGAGAACTGGGAAGAAATGCTTGAGGTTGTGGAAGCCTCCGAAGATGAAATTACTTCTACATTGTATTTTTGGTTGCAGCTGTCATATTCTACAACCGAGCCGCGTCAGATGACTCATTTTAGATTAAACTGGAATGCTCATGAACCTGGTGTGGAGACATGAAATACTTATGTAGTCATTAGTAGACAGCAAATTGTTCGGATAAAGTTGTGCTTTGAAATTTGTTCCAATGGCATTCATATATGTCCGTCGGTTTGTATCTCTGTAGTTTTTTCTTTTTACTGTTATATGAAAATGTAGTTTTTAGTGATCAGGGATATCTTTTAGGGGGAATATACTTTGTATTTTGAGCAAGAAGTTTAGTGTTTGGTTCAAAACTTATTATGCTTCATTAAAGCAAAAGTGATATTCTTTCAAAACTGCTCGAATCAGATGCTGCTACCAATTTGGTTGGTTTTATTAACATCATTCTCCATTACAAATTACAAATAATAGTTGTGTTTTCATAACAAACTACACTTGCTTCTTCCAATCTCTGGGATACATCTCTTTGCTAGTCAATAGCCTTTATGGTAAATAAACACTATCATGGTTTTCCTTTTGTTATCTGTTTTTTTAGTTTTTTAACGTTTCTCAGTAGAACTTTGTTTCCAATGGAAAATCATAGTTTTGTAATATGAAGTGTGTTAAAATTGAGTTTTCAGAGTAAAAACATGTCTACCAAGACAAGAAGTGCAAGGAAAGATGCAGTTAAGATAAACACAATTATTCTTTTCCTTCTTTAGTTTGTGTTTCTAGATAGATTTCTTTAGAGCTAAACTAAAGCAACTACTTGTTGCAATATTGTAGGAAGGAACAAGTAAGAAGAAGAGTGTAATTGTTGGACCATGGGGAGGCAATGGAGGGACTAGTTGGGATGATGGAGCCTTTACAGGGGTAAGAGAAATCACACTAGTTTATGATCGTTGCATCGACTCTATTCGTGTCGTTTATGATAAGAATGGAAAACCTTTCACAGCTGATAAACATGGAGGAGTTGGAGGCAACAAAACAGCTGAGGTGAGTTCAATTAATGTTTCTTTCTTATTCATTATTCCATCAATCTATATTAAGAAAAGTCTTCTCTTAATGACACCGTGATATACAAAAGGTGTAGTTCAACTTATGATGGAAGTGTTTGTTTATGTCTATTAGATTAAGCTACAATACCCTGATGAGTATTTGATCAGTGTGAGTGGCTACTATTTTCCGGTTGCTCGTGGTGGCACACCGGTTATTCGGTCTCTGACCTTCAAGACGAACCAGAGAACTTTTGGACCATACGGAGCAGAAGAAGGGACACCATTCACTTTCTCAATAGATGGAGGCCAAGTTGTGGGGTTTAAGGGACGAGGTGATTGGTATTTGGACTCAATTGCCTTCACTTTGTCTAGTGCACCCTCAACCTCTCTTCTTAAGAAGGTGCAAAAAGGCTTCTATAGACTTGCAAGCATTGCTCCAAAATCTTCATCTACCAAGGCTGGTGAGAAGACTCTGGGAGTTTAAGCCTCTTGCTCACATCCATGTAGTCAACTATGAACACCTTAGTGTATGTCCACATTATAGTAAGACATAGTTATATGTGTAATCATATTCTAGATTTGATATGTCATGTTATATGTTTTTTTTTTTTGACTAAGGATATACTTTCAAAGCATTGGCTATTTGAAACTTGTTATCAACTTTGGGATGGGCATGTTCTGTTGGCAATTTTTGAGAGTACTAGAAACTCTTAAATTCTTTCTAATAGGCACACATTTTAAAATTTATTTATTTATAATGCGACAAAAAACACATGAATTTCTAGTCTTAAAAAAATGTTCATTTCACAATGCATTTATTTTTTTAAAACATAAGTGTATTTTGAAATTTAATTGCGAAATTTGGTCATAAAAAATTTAATTCACATGTCGACAATTTATACTCGCTGGCATTTTTTCTTTTTTTTTTGTTGCAAAATTTTAAATAATCTCCTATTTAGATCACCTATAATAATGGAGGTTTTTTCCCTTGATATCTCTAAAATAAAAACTCCTTGAATTGATAAAAATGTTTTGCATTTATATATATATATATATATATATATATATATATATATATATATATATATATATATATATATATATATATATATATATATATATATATATATATATATATATATATATATATATATATATATGAGAAATGCTAACGAATGTTGCTAGGAGATTAGTTAAAAAGATTAGTTAAAAAATTAAAAAGGTAAGTTGAACATATATGTGTTGAACATATATGTATATTCAATGCAATGAAAATATAAATAAGTAACTTTTTTAAAGAATCTTATGTGTATTTAATAAATTAAACCTGTAATATTTTTCTTATTTGAAATTTTTAACCAATGTCATGGGAGAATTGGTTAGCATGACTATATATATATATATATATATATATATATATATATATATATATATATATATATATATATATATATGTATATATATATATATATATATATATATATATATATATATTGAAAATGATTTAGTTTTAAATTATTGATTTTTAATATTTCACAATTCATCCTCTTCTTGTATATGAAATTACATGTTCAACAAAAAGTTCTTCAACAATATCCCGAACAATATTTTTAAAGATTTATACGAGGAATGTCCTAAAGAATCATCAAAGACGTTTAAATAGGATGAACATGTTTCCTTAAAAGTCTTTGGTGAAGAAGATGGTTGTGAGGAAACTCTCTCGTACAAACAATTATTTATATGAAATGCTAAGTTAAGCAAGGAACATGATAAGATGGAAGAAAGCAACATAGAGCTTTTAATAGAATCACTAATAATAGAAATCAAACTAATAATTGTGAAACATGTTTTTCAATGAAGAAGGAAGTGAAAATTTTGCATAAAATCTATGTAAATTTAGTATGGAGAAAGAAAACCAAGATTTGATTCTATCAAATCAAATGTCTTCCTTGAATAAAATTGCATTAGGGTTTAAATCAAATAGATCATTTAGTAAAGACTTCAATAGAAAGAAATTAAATCGTCATATCTATAAATATTCTTTTTGTAATAAGTTTGGCTACTTAGAGCCTTTTTGCTATAATAAACTAAGAAGGTCTAAAAGGAACAACTTTGGACCTTTTAGAGCTACTAATACACTAGGACCCAAAATAATTTGAGCACCAAAGGTGAAATCTAATCTGTTTTGCATGAACACTTTGCAACTTTAATGAAGCTTTGTTGAAAATTAAATGAATTTTACAAAACAAGTGTATACTTTGAGTATACAAGAGAATGTCTTAACTGCTGGAGTTTGATGATCTTGATGCATGTGATCAAAGTATGCTTGTTCATGGTGTGTTTCAACGGACATGATAAAAGTGTTCTCATTAAGAGTGTTTCTCAACAACAATGATGATCTTGATGATTATGTAACCTCTTAGTAGGTTGAGTTGATAAGTATGTAATGGACTTATCAATATTTTGGTTTAAACCAACTCTCGTATCAAAAAATTTGTAGAGAATGATATACGACGATGGTTTGACGTTCCCTCAAAAGTTGGAGTTGTCTTAAATTGGTCTTAAGGCTTAAGGTGGTAAACTTAATAGTGGTTGAAAATGTTAGGATAAGATTCGTTCATGACATATTTTTTTTGGAGTTTTATGATAACAAAGTATTGAAAGAACAATTATCTATTTGATGTGTGTTACATCTATTCAGGTTCTAATACTTATAAATATTATAGTCAGAATCTGTGTTGCATTAACCACACTTTAAGAGTTGCTGAATTGCTAGCTTCTGGTGACATAATATGAAGAACACTTGCTAAGTGATGTCAGGTGTATACTCTGAAACTGAAGGTCTCAGCATCAGAAGAAGCGACATAATTGTCTCTACACTTAGTGAATGCAAATTGGCTTCTGATACCATTCAGAGTTGGTGATAAAGCTGAAGTTGTCTGTACTGCAGAAAACAAGTTGTATTGTCAAATCATTTTGTCAACTAGAGTCTACAGTTGCAAGGCTCAAGAAAGGCTGAGATGCTTTATGGATATCTACTCTTAACGACTCTAATAGTACAGAATCTCTTGAAGACTCCAAGGTTAAACATGTTACACATTGGATTAAGATTTTCTGGTGTATCTATCTTCAACGACTCTTGTACTATGGAGTAACAACAAAGACTCTTGATCAAGTTATCTCTTCAACGACTAGTTTCTGAAAAGGCTATAAATATGGCTGAAGGTTCAAACTGAATCTTTAACAAGGATCAACCAAATAAAGAAGTAACAAGATCAACAATTATCAATATAATTGTATATGTAGATTTTCTGTTGTATGTTGTAATTGTAAAAGCCTTAAGATTTCTTACACATATGAATATCTTAGAAATCTTAAGTGCTTTACGTATTTGTTATGGTGATTTTCCGTACCTCTGGTACCTGTATGATATACACCTTGTTCTCTGTTCTACTAAGCTTGTTCAGCAGTTTAGATAAAAATCTTGTGTCAATGGAACACAAGCAAGGAAGTCTCGAGCCAAGATGTTTGAGCCACGTAAGTCTCTTTCTATGTGCTTGAGTTGTGAAAGTCTTAATCAACTAGGTTGATTGAGTATAAGTCTTGTATCATTGGGATACAAGCAAAGAAGTCTCGAGTCAAGATTTTTGAGCCACGTAAGTCTCTTCATATGTGCTTGAGTAGTGAAAGTCTTAATCAAGTAGGTTGATTGAGCAAGATTGGATCGGTACATGAAACTTGGAGCAATAAATCTTAAATATGAAAGATCAAGCAAGGAGGTTCATTTCATGGGACCTAGAGTAGAAGTCTTGAGTCAGTGTAGCTTAAGAAGGAGAGTTCAATACATGGAATGGGTAGAGCAGACATAGAGGCAAAAGTCTTTGAGGAAGACAGTCTCTAATTGGCTCTCACGAAAAACATAGTTACCGAGTTACGAAATATCGTGCAGTACAATCGGAGGAGGAGAAGACAAGGGGTTCGACGTATCCAATAGTTTATGTTTGGTATTTTTTTTGTTTGTATTTTCAGACAAATATTATGTATAGTGATACATTTTTAAATTAACATATGACATTTTACTTTCATTTACTTTTAATTAAACTTGATTGTAATGACTTCAAAAAATTATAATGTTGAGACAATGGTGTTGTTTTTAAGCCATTCAGGGGGATTTTCAGAGATGCATCGCCGAAATAATTCTCTCATTGCAATTACCACGCTTCCAATGCATGTAAAGAATTTCAGGAGACATTCCGAAGATGCATCTTCAAATACACTTAAATATTATACTGAAATGCATCTCCGAATCATATTTTAATCAAAATAGGATGGATTTTAGTTTAGTACATTTTGATGTAATCTGGATGAGTCCAAAGATGCATCTCCAGATGCATAAGATGATTTCGGATTTTCAAAAAACTAGAATGCACATATAAGAATATAATGAGCATTGATCCCTTTCATGGATGGTACAAGATAAAGGTATAAGGATGTAATGAGCATTTCCTTCATGGATGGTACAAGATAACGGTTTGCCACTCAAGATTATAAACACAGTCACATTACTTTGTTATAGACGTGGGACTTTTCTGAATGTCCCTTTTCAATGAAACACTTCTATTAACCTTTGAATGCAACACTCACACCTTCATGAACATGCACTTCTCTCGTGAACTAGACTAATGCTTGCTACATCAACAACATAATTTCAACAACTTCCACCATAGCATATGAAACATATAATATCGACACGAGAGTGTTTCACTAGAAAGTAAAATCACATGCTAAAGATAAAAACCAGTAGTTTCATATTAAAGAAAACCTCTTAGTATCATGAAATCTAACCACTTTAGGCCACTTCATTTAATAGGGTCATTTATTCAGCTACCATATCATTTTTTTCTTAACTTATATATTTGAATACACATTAGACCAATGTCTTCAAAAGTTAGCTAGAGAAACATGGATATGAATAGTAGAAAATCAGTTTTTGTTATGTTTGCATTTGTGTTGTTTGCATGGGGGAATAATGCACAAGATGATACAATTGTACCAGCAATCATAACATTTGGTGACTCTGCTGTGGATGTTGGGAACAATGACTATCTTTATACTATTTTCAAAGCTAACTATCTTCCTTATGGAAGAGACTTTGCTAACCGAAAACCTACTGGAAGGTTTTGCAATGGAAAATTAGCTACTGATATCACTGGTGAGAATATAAACCGAACTGTAATACTAATGTTATTTTTATAGATATATAATTTTCATTCGGTTTTTCTTTTTGTAGCTGAAACACTAGGTTTTAAGAGCTACGCGCCCGCGTATCTTAGCCCTCAAGCAAAAGGGAAGAACCTTCTTATTGGAGCGAATTTCGCTTCGGCTGCATCTGGTTACGATGAGAAGGCTGCCATTTTGAATGTAAGTTTTTTATGAACATCGCAAACATGAATTCTAGAGGTTTCGCGTTTTTCTTTTTAATTC